AAACATATTTTTATTGGCAAAAATCTTATTATATGTACAGACATGAAAAATACAGAATTTCACCTTTGCAATGAAACAAAGTCTGTCATTATTTTAGCTCAAACCAATCTGCAGTGATGAATAAACCAAACGGGGAATCCACATATCAAAGGTAACAACTTTTATGCCACTGATTTCTTGCGTTCCAGCAAAATCCTTCCTTAGCTACACAGGAAAGTTTGTTTTCTGAGATTTTAGGTCATTCAGGTTGCAAACTTAACTCAGCAGCTGGGAGTTAGCAAGAGTTATTTGAGTTCACCCATTTGGAGCGAATATTAAGCGAATAAATAGAGTGGATATATTCAACAGCCCGTATATCCAGTCCCGACCCGGTCCAAATGTGCAGAAGCAAAACCTGCTGTTGTGTGCATCCACAGTCAGTCCGGATTCACAGTTTCCATAAATCGTTAATGTAGAAATTCCAGCGTTTTCCAGACTCAACTTTCCCAGTTTCCGGTTCTACTTGCACTTCAAAATCAAAACCTAACCAAGTATTTTTGTCTAGCTTCTAATGTCTGAGCACACTTAAAATAACACTAACTAACTTAAAAGTACATTTTCAGCAAGATATAGAAGCTTTATAAAAATAAGTGCTTATTTGTTTTCAGATAACTTATACAAGAAAACATTTCTTGACAAATCTGCCAATGAAACTAAAACTTTTTTATCAATAATAAGGAATTATTTACTTGAAACAAGTAAATTTCTTGTTGAAAAGTCACTTGTAAGTTAGTTTTGTCTTATTTCAAGTGTACTGAGATATTTGCACTAGAAACTAGACCAAAGGATTTGGTCTAGTTTGTTGTTGCAATGTAAGTCCAAATGAGAAAGAAACAAAATGAAAGGAAGACATGGAAGGAAAGATGGAAATGAATGAAAAGTACAGATAGAAGAAAAGAAAGTAAAGAAAGAAAGAAGAAAATAAAGAACAAATGAATCTGGGAATGAAGTCTGGTTTTGCTGCCATATTTTCATCTCCATTAGCAGTAATTCATGATTAGCAACCGCTAACGTTTAACGGTTCTGAGTCTTTTATTTCTTGCTCTTTCTTTTCCCTTTGATGCTCTTGTTATTAAGCTCTTCTTTGAGTGAACTTTGACCCCCGCCTTCCTGCCTCAGGCTCTTCGACCACTCCCTCTGCAGCTGTTTGAGCAGGTCAGGAGTCAACAGTCCGTCTTTCACCAGGCGGCTCGCCAGAGATTTCTCCGTCATCCCTGCCAAGCTTCTCTGACCTCTGCTTCTGCTGCCGGCGGCAGGTGCAGCATTTTGCGGCGAGTGGCTCTGCGGCTGCAGCGGGTTGCTGAGGTTCGGGTCACTGGCTCGGATCAGATGGGTGATGTTTCGGACGCCCTGCTGGATGATGTTGTCCAGTACTTGCTGGATGTCTCGGATGGCGGCCGTGTCTGGAAACATATCCATGAAACGGTAGCTACGGAAAGCCGGAGAAAGGATTAGATCTGTGAGCGTTCGGAAACTAAATCCAGGCAGAGAAACCCGTGTGAAGAAGGTGGATCACCTTAACCAGAGGTACAGATCCAGAACGTCATGCACAGCTTCTAGGTGGACCAGGTCCTTGATGTTTCTGGGTGCAGCCAGAGGCCAGCCGATGTGGCGGCAGATCCAGTTAAACGTCAGAGGCTCGTCTCGACTGAACTGACGCGCAAACTGCAACGTTAACAAGGTTTGAATGAGAAATGCAAAGCTGTGCAGGACAGAGGAGGTCATGAAAGATGCAGTTTGTTCTTTTCAACAAGAGGTTATTACATTATTCTGCTGATTGGTAATGACACAGCAGCAACAGTGCTCTAAATCCCAAAGGTTGAATCAAGACTTTCATTTTGGAGATTTGTCAGGATGTGACCATAAACTTTTAGCACTACGACTATAAAAACATTTACTTTACAACGGCCAGGTTAATATTCCTCACTGAACCGTCATGAATCTGATCCATCCCTCCTGTGTGTAACTTTTCCTCTTACCTTTAAGAAGGAGGTGCAGACAAAAGGCTGCTTTTTATTAATGGGCGCAGTACAGAAGACGTAGCGTGACCTCAGGTTGAGTGGAATATGTTGAATCATGTCGGCCAGAAACTTGAAGTCGTCGATGTTGCAGAAGAAATACAGACCGTCCACCTGAGAGAGGCTGACGAATATGTCCTAAAAAACATGGACACAAAACAAAAGTGTGCTAAAGCATCGAGGAACTAGTTTCTTAGCATTGAACAGAACTTATAACACGTTTTTAAACCAGGTTGAATAATTTTACATGATCAATCTCGAACAAAAGTTTTGCTAAATCCCAACTATTTTGCTTTTAATGAATAAAGATTTGTTATTTGAAAGATTTATTCCCAGGATTAAGCAATTTGGAAACAAAAAATAAAACTTCAAGCTTCTTATTTACAATTGAAAGCAGCTACTGTTGGCAATATACTGACACCTAGTGGGACAAAGTAGAAATTGCAACCACTTGAACTCCAGCTAACACTTAGCAAATTATATATATTTTAGCTTCTGAACTTTATATTTTATTGCTTAAATTATGGCCGATTTTATATTCTGAGCAGCACTTTGAGTAACCATAGCTGTTTTTAAAGACTGGATTTGGATTTGTGGCACCTGTGTTATTTTACCTGAGATGTTTTTTAAATATTTTCAAGATTAAAACTTCCAGCTCCTGTAAAACCTGCGTCTGGTTCTGACGGATCCAGTTTACCCTTCAAATAGAGGTCTCTCTCAAATGTTTTATTGGTTTTTAATAGAGACATGCTACTTAAGATTGACTGTGATTTTTATTAAGTCTAGGAACTTTAAAACACTTGGAAACAATGCAGCCAAAAAACAAAAAAAACATCCTCTTTTCAGGGTTAAAGTAACGTTTGTCTGATTTTGATTAAACTAAAAAAATAGAATTAAAGACTGGGTTATTGTTTGCAGAACAAAGATGGTTGAGGTTTATAGTTTGATGCACTTTAAAGAAAAAGTCAAATAAATGTGAATTAGACCAGGTAGAATTATAGCTATTTAGAGAGAACTAAGAGAAACTACAGCTAATAAGATATTATAATACTTCTGTGATTAGTTTAACCTCTCAAATACCAAAATGTAGACGTGAGAGCAGGACTGGGTTCGTTGCTTTACTCACTACGAGGTTGGAGAGTGTAGCGTCAGGGAGCTGATAGGCAAACATTTCTATCTGCTCTGCAGTGGGATGGAGACCTGCAGTCTGAGGGAAACAAGGTTTTAAAACATGGACTCACGGTGTGATGCACTCTGACTCTACTGTTGGTGAGACCAGTGAGTGTGTGTGAAATAACCACCTCTATGGGATCAACAGAATGGCTGAGGATTTCCTTCAGGACAGGCAGGTCGTCGCGGTGCATGGTCGTGACCTCTCCCTCTTTAAACACGGAGGAAAATCTGCAACAGAGAGAAAACGGATAGTAAGTTCATCCCGACAAAGAGGAGAGCCGTTTTCCGCATGGCCACAATGAGGAAATAGTCAAACAGAAGCCAAACGGACCTCCCTGCTCGACCTGCAATCTGCAGCGCCTGCGATGTGCTGATGGTCTCCATCTGCTTCTCTCCTTTCTCATTGATGTTGGGCTTCACCAGGGAGTTAAAGATGATGCGTTTTATACTCCTGGACAGCATCGAAGGAGGTTATCAGACAAAACAGGGAAAAGTAGGTGAGTTGTTTTCCTTGCTTTGACTCCAGTTCTTGATTTCGTCTAAACATGTGTTTAAATTGCACATAAACACAAATCAACTGTATTTAAATAGATCACAAACACCTCAGATGCTATAATTGAAATTCCCTCTGGTTTCCTGAAAGCAATTTTCTGTTTGTGTTAAAATAAAACAAACACTTTAATGGTTCAAAACGGACTACATGTCACTTACAGGTTGAGGCCCATGCCGATAGCATCTGTAGCAACCAGGATCTTACAGGGGTCGTCAGGGTCATTGAACTTCTTGGCCTGCGACAGTTTAGTGCCTGCAGTTCACAGGAAAGTTCAAACATGTAGCATGCAATAATAATAATAACAACATGAAACAAACAAATCTCAAAAAGAAAATAGGAAAATAAAATGTAATTGCAGGAGTAAAAATACCACTGATTTCTACACGCATACACTGCATCTTTAAAGATAAATTTGTATATTTCAAACATTTTTAAGCTGTTCTGAAACTTTACATCTCTGAACTGATTATGTTTATAAAGTCTGACACACAAAATTACTATTTTATTACTTCATCACATTAAATAAAGTATTCAAAGGGTTTTAAAAGGACTAATTAGCTCAATACAATCTGAAATAAACCTTATTTTCACATTCTTCAATAAAGATGAAAGCATTCAACATAAATTAATGCATGTTTATGTATTTTTGATCCATGTTAGATGAAGTATTTTCTATCTTGAAATCACACAAAGCTTCCTGTAATATTTAAAGGCTTAGAATCTAAAACAACACTGGTTATCTGTCATATTTTTGTTTTCTATGTGTTAGAAAGAAAAAAGGAGAAAGACAAACAACTAGCGTGCCAAAAATCTGGTAATTTATTTTATATCCAGACAAATACATTTGTCCAACACAAACCTTTGTAAACATTTAAATCGCTAACATGTAAACAAATCAAATGTATGTTTTCTTTTTGATAGATACTGACTAGCTTATATGTACCTCACTATCACACTCACCTGGAGGTAAACTACCATAAATTACGGCACATTCTTGCCCTCTGGCCTCGATCTGTCGGCTTAAAGAGTAGATGTCGTTTTTACTGAAGCACACGATACAGTCTCCTGGCCTCAGGCCGTCCAACGTCTCCACGGCGTGATCCAGGACCGAGAACGGAGTCAGGCGTTTGTAGGCGTGGACCTGCGGAGAGACGGGACGACGCGGAGGAAGGGTCAGGCGGCGAAACCGACTCCGACGGGTCGAAACCAGCGTCAGGAAGTAAGGCTGGACGACGCGGCTGGAAAACGTGTCACAGTGTCGGCGTTTCATACAGGTTTATTGGCAATGTTGGTAATTAATGCTTCACTTTTTTTGTTTTTGTTTTAAATATCTGAAATAGTGACAAACTGGTAATGCAATCTTTTCTGTTTTCATTTTGTTTATTTTTGAGCTGTGATGAGGCGCAGTGGATGAACTTAAACTGCTTCTGCGGCAGATATTCAAGCTGTTGCGAGGAAACTACCGCGAGTGAGTTGATGCCACCAACCTTTTTTATTCTTTATTTCCAACCAATAACAAATAACATAGAAGATATTTAACACAATGACAAATATCACAATCCTATGATAAAAATAAAGAATAACCAAAGATATCAACAATGTTGGTGTTAAGGTATTGCAATTTTCAAAGTGAAATGAAGGTTCAGCAGCTAAAGGTTTCCACAACCTACATCCTCCAGAAAACTGAATATTCTATCAAATGCACTATCTATTGATATTGATTACTGCATCTGTTGTCTATCACAATATATTGTCTTTCAGTCTCACCTCCACCTCCTCTCCGGTCGTGTACATCAACTCCCGGATGAAGTCCACAGCTGCCGCTTCTCCACACACGTGGATTTCCTCGGCGCACAAACCTACACAAACACAAATGTCAAATACTTTACAGATCCCAAAGGGAACTTAAATAACACAGGGTGACCAGAGAAAAATCTCAGCATGAAAGAGAGAGAGAGTAGAAATGTTTAGCTTCTGTATGAATGTTGCAGACCGAGTAGAGCTCTGGTCCAGGCCCAGCCTCTGGAGGGATCTCTGATCATCTGAATTTCATCGATTACAGCCACCTCATCTACACACACAGAGCAGAAAATAAAACATTATGGAACGGCTGATCCATACTTAGAAACAGTGTTTACAGATATAATTACATCAGCCCAAAGGAAACCAGATACTATAACTCAATATTAATAATTGAATAAAAGAAAAATATAAATTACTTTCATTTTATAATTTTTTCATTACTTGTTTAAGCTTGAAAGACAGAAATCAAACGTTTTGAAAGGAGAACAAAAATTCTAACAGTTAAGTCATAATAATGGAACAGTAAATCATCACACGCCTACTTACAAGGTGTGTTGACGCTGCACATCTCGATGGTGCACGCCACATGTCCAGCTGCTCGGCCCTCTGGGTCTACGAAGGTCCGCTCCTCCCCAGTAACCAGGTCACACGGCACACCCTGCAGCACAGACACACGCACAACACGAACAGCCGTCAATATCAAACGGCACCATCAGAATCTGTAAACGCACCTAATGGAAGCTGAAATATTCTTTGGAGACACTTTTGTTGTTGTGTAAGCTTTAAAGGCAACCTGTAAACTTCCTTCAACAAGATCGGATAAAAAAAAAGTTAGCAGGCAAAACCTGGAAACTCTGGTCGGGTTGCTAGGTAACGAGATTATTTATGATTTTATATTGGGAAAGATTTTTAAATGGCTCATTCTCCAGACACCAAAAGACATTGGCAGAAAATAACTGAGTGTTTTTATAAGTGCTTGGACTCTTTCTAGAGGCGGAGAGACTCGAATGGGAGCCTAAAAACAAAGATTACGGTTTGATCTAAGCAGCTAGGATGTTTTGAATCTTTCTTCTATTGCTTGATGTTTTTCGTAACATCTGTTAAATGAATATCTCCCAAACATCTCTCTGCTTGGGAGATGTTTGCACGTTTTAAGGTTAACATTTAGATTTTATCTCCAATCCAAATGTTCCCACTAAGATTGTATATGTGAAATAGAGCCAACGCTTCAAATAAACAGTTTTTCAACTGCGATGAAAAGAATAAAAAATGGACGCACAGCGCTGTTGCTCTTCTCAAAGATTTCGTGGGCGAGAAGTTTCAGGGGACCACAGTAGACCCCAGACTTAGCCGCCAGGTAGCGCTGGATGGCATGGTAGGTTTTCCCGCTATTAGTGGGTCCAGAGTGAAAGATCACCTTCCTCTGGATGGCTCGGGCCTCAGGGTACCTGGTATAAACACAGAACATTCAGCTCTTTAACTAGAGTAACTTTCTGGATTTGGTGTGATGAACCAAGCAGTAATGCATCATTAGGAAGTGGAAAGAAAATAATACATGGTTTCCAAAATGTGCTGCGCTTGTTGCATGTATTTCCATTCAACCACCCTTTTTTCAGAACAGTCTTTTGCCGCAATTTTAGCTACAAGCCTGCAGAATATGTTGCCACAGACATGTAGATGCACCGTTCTTTATAAAATACCTCAAACTAAGTTGGTCTGAATGGAGAGGATCAGTGGACTTTGAATTTCCAGGCCTTGACAAAAATCCTCAGTTAGATTTACATCTAGATACAGATCTAGATCTAAATCCAAAGAGTCATTTTCAACCCCAAGTCCATTGAACTGAAACCTGCTTAGGGGTGCAGTTGTTACAATGCCTTTTAAAAATTAACATGTTTCAATAAATATCTATTGTAAGAAATCTGTGGTCATTTTAAAAATGCAGCCAATTATTTCTATTTTTCAGTTTTAAGATAATGAAAAAAAAAGCAAAAACACAACAAGTACATTTCCTTCTGATGGACATTGATATTTGTGGAAATGTGTGTAAAAAAGCAAATAGCCGACTAGAAGAAATATTTCTGGTACTTTATGTGCCATTCTGTGGGAAAAATTTAATGCGATTATAGCATAAAAAATTAAAAAGCAGCTAAAACTTCCATCATAGTCATTTAGAGACACTATGGAAAGCAAAAAGAGCCACTTGCAGCTGTTGATGTTTAGCTGATTATTATTTAACCAGTGGTTTATGTGGAATGATAACTGAAATGTTCACCAGTTTGCTGGGACTCTGAGGTCGGATATCTTTCTCAGGTCATCCATGCAGTCCAGCATGGGGAAGATTTGTTTGGCATGACGCATAAAGTATGGGTAGATGTCATCAATATGACCTGGGGAGAAGAAGAAGACGAGATGTGATAAATGTAAACGTTATTCTGACGAATTAGCAGAAACCTGAGGTGGCGCACCTGCGTTGCAGCAGATGTCACTGAGGATGATGTGCAGATCAGCAGGGAGGGACGTCATCTCCAGAACGTACTTCCTGAAGCTGATGAAGGCTTGGTGGAACAGACGAGCTGTTTGTTTGCAGAAAAATGACTTGATCACAAAAGGTGAATGAATATCAACATGAAGAGAAGTGCAAAGATATTCACATCCAGAAAATGTTGATATTTATTGCTACTTTGTTACTATTTTGTGCAGCTGAAACACTTAATTTTTTACATGGGGATTAACAATTTAAATAAACTCCAGTTCAACAGTTTGTCTTTAGAAGCTATCCAATTGGTAAATAGGTTCACTTGTGCGTTAATTAATCTAAATATACATGCAGCTACTTTGTTGAGAACATTAGTAAACAAACATCATGAAGACTAAGGAACACAAAGTTGTGGAGAAGTTTAAAGCAGGATTAGATTATGAAATATTCCAGATTAAATGGTTGAACGTTTTTTCAAAGAGCTGCATATTAATCCTTAAGAGGTTGGGGAGTTTGTAATCTCACCATCCAGGCCGTGGTCTGCTGCCAACTTCTGCATCTCTTTTTTTTTGTAAAACTTGTTCAAGACTTTCAGCAGCTCATCTGAAAATCGCAGGGGGGAAAAAGCAGATATTAGCACCGGTTAAATCAAATGATCTCCGTTGTTAATCAGCAGATTATCCCCCTAAAACAAAGAGGAAACTGTGGATCACTTTTGTCCAGCGGTTGCGTCAGTTCTGCTCCCACGGTCCCGTCAGCCGGGTCGTCTGTCTTCAGCGAGACGGGGACAAACAGCGAGGTGTCCGGAGCCTTGGGGGGGACGCTTTTAGAGGAAACATTTCTGCAGCAAACCGCGGAACCAGGCGGCGAGCGCTGGAGCAACAACCTAGAACCAGAAATCACTCTGCAGCCGCCTGTGGCGGGGTGAGCAGTCCGGGGGTTAAAGTGGCGTGGAAGCCGAGAAAACACAAAGTACACGGTGCGGCTCGCTGACATTACTGCGGGCGGATATGTGACCGAGCTCCGGCAGGTTCTCTGGACCTTTCTCGAAGTAGCTATCACCGCTCCATGCTGTTAAACTGCGCGAAACATTTAGCTCACGCAACAAACCCCAGAAGGACGGTCAACACATTCCTGCTATCACCGGCGTGGTTCAGGACCGCTCTGCCGACAGATATGCCTGTATAAAAAGTTTCAACGAAATTGTTCAATTTTATATGTTCGAAAACAATATTTTAGAATTCTATTTTAACGTAATATTCTAATATTACGTAATTATATTTTATTTAAAAATACGCCAGTTGGTGGGCATTCTACAAATATACAAATGAGGCATATATCAGGACACCCTTGAAGCTGATCTCGAAGATCTCTTATCAAACTAAGACGCTGATCTCGGTAGATATTTATAAGTTACATTTATTTTTTTAAATTCAATTAATTTTTTAATTGAATTGGAAATGTGTTTTAGTTTAAATGCAGTTATTTACGCATTTAAAAATATATACGTTAAGATAAAAATTCTATAATATATTTAATCACATGAATACCGAAAGTATTTATTGAATTGTGGTGTTTTTGGCTCTGAAAGTAATTTGTTTCAGTTTCTTGAATCTGAAAAATGGCGATTTCTCTTATTCTACTTGAGGTATGGACTTAATTTTTTTTTTTTTTTTTTTTACTGAGCGTTCATGCATCTTCTTAAGACTTACAGAAGAAAAAAAATACCACCAAAAAGTTGGAAAATTATCATTTAAGTCAGTTTCAAATTATGACTGGCATCAAAAAAGCATCGAGCCATATACAGAATAAAAGTTTTTGTATTAAAATTAGTTGAATCATTTCCAAATTTTTAGACTGCCAAAAAGACAAAAAAAAGAAAAAGTTTTTCAAACTACCGTAAGTTCAGTATAAATCTGCTTTATTCATGATTTTAGCTATATATATATTTGAGTATGGTGTATAGAATATATGCACACACATCCCATACACACAGTCACACAATGACATAAACATGCAGAAACCAAAGAGGCAGAGACTGTTGGCTTTGAGGTGTTTTTGACCGTAAAGAAAACCCAACAAATTCTGATCAAAAGGAAAAAAAAAAAAACTAAATTCTTTTTCAATAAATTACACCGTTTCCACACAAGATAAGACACAGATTACATGATCAAAACTAGAATATAAGGACAGTGAAAACCTGAACTTTAGATTTGTCTGTTCAAACTACTTGAAAAAGAATGCAACACCAAACATAAGAAGCAAAAAATAAATAAACATAAAGCTGACTTAAAATGTGTAGCGAAAAAGAAAAAAAAAAAGACTCAGAGAACCTGAGGTGAAGTTGTTCCTTGAGTGATGATAACTTTCAGGAAACATGCCCCTTCTACACAAAGTACAGCACTGAAGAGCAAAGAGCAAACTGTCCACAGTTCAGAGCTGGAGGCAGAAATCACATGGGACTGGTAACAGTGTCATTAAAGCAAGACCTAAACCACAGGTCTGAGCATCACAGTGGAACATTGTTGCATTTACAGTATATGGAAAGCACATCCCTTCCTGTGGTTA